TAAATCCCTTTACTTCTTTCACATGAAGACTTGCCCTGATTTCTAGCTTATGTAAGATAAAAGCCAACATTTTGTTTTTATCAGCTACCTCTGAGATACACAGTCATGCCATTTATGTTGTTCTAGCACAAAACATGGTGTTGGAAGGCCACTCCATCTCAGCAAGTGAGCAAAAGATGCACCTAAATCCACTTCTAGGGGTAAAAAGCGCTTCCAATTACAGGAGCGGTAACTACTTTTTGCATAAAAATTGTTGCCATTTAAAAAAACCTCTTATTGCCATTGAAATCTTGCACTTTTGGTCAGGTTTGTTCAAAGCATTTCTTAAAGCTTTAGAGAGGAGTTCAGTGTCTCTTGGGCTCAAATTATCCAGTAAGTGAGGCTTGAGCAATTCACAGGGAGCAAATATAAACGTATGGGATAAAGTTCATTATCACAGTTCCCCTGCCTTGAAATTGTTACAAATGAGTATTACTGCCTTGTCAAAGGAGACCCTAATTACCTGAAGCTAATGCACACAGCCTTCCTAGAGTAAATCTGGCATTTCTCTACCTGCCTACAGTCCTTCCAAACTTCAGACTTCTTAAGGCTTTGGCAGAGCTGCTGATAAAAGCTCTTAAATACATGTGCCTGAGGAAAGAAAGCTAGAGGTATATTCTTTAGGAAACAGTATTTTTACTTAAAAGAACAAGAATAGGAAAAATATGAGGGGGGAGGATACTGCAGATGAATCAGTTTTCTAAATTATATGAAAGGCATTGGTGTTTCATTTTGGAAAAAAAGCAGGTGGTTTATTTCTTGATTCTGGATCTGTAAGGGTGCAACTTAGTAAAGCTGTAAGAGGAAAGAGAAGTTAAAAAAAAAAAAAAAAAGCAAAGCACACTTGAATTCAGAAATCCTTAAACAGAAAAATTCAAAAATTAAAAAAATTCAGAAATTCCATTAAACAGAAAACCAGCAATGCTAGCCATGTTGTTGGTGCAGTGGATTCTTGTGATGCAGCAGCAGTTCTAGTAAAAGCTACAAAAACACCAACCTACCTGCAGCTGTATCATCTCCTGACACAGAAATGGAAGCTGCAGCTGCTGTGGCAGCAGTTTCAGTGAAAGGACCACAAGGATCAACAAGATGCATGGCTGAACCATAAGAAACCGAGGATATAGCACGGAAGCAGCTGATGGTAAATGAGGATATTCTTACAAAAAAAACCCCAAACCAAAACCCACACACACAAAACCCACAACAAAACAAAACGCAACCAAGACTAAACCTGATAGATCTTGGAGACTTTTGAACAGTGGAGATGTGACTGCCACTGGTATGAGCTGGCTGCCACTTTAACTGCTATCTCTAATGTAGATCCCAGTGCTCACTTTAAGGAGAGAACAAACTGCCATTCCATGCCACCTAAGCTTATTATGTAATATTATTATACAAGCAGATGTTTTCTCCTGCATTCCTATCCAAGGACAAGAGGCTCATAGCTCATGGAAGTAAAGTAATAGCCTTTGAAGCTGAAAACAAGCTCCCTGGAGACAGATATAACTGATGGGGACAGCTCTGCTTTCTGGTGGGACCCTGGGCCTGCTGCTGTGGGGTGTCCAGCCCAGAAGAAGCCACACAGTGACTTCCATGAAGTCCAGGAGAGCAGTGACCACTGGTCTCTAATGAAACAGGGACAGCTGTGACTCTACCCCAACCAACACAAACAGCCCAAAAGCATGAGAGTGCTACAGACAGAGAAGCCAGTCCAAAGCAAAGCAGGAGGATCCCACCTGCACCAAAATAGAGGCCTCTGTGGTTTGCTGGTCTGTCTCTGTTGTTTTCTGTGTTTGAAACTAAGTCAGGTGAACAAACTGCCACTCATTGATGTGGCTGTAGCATCTGTAGTTGCAAGCTTCCACTTGGATCTACTCATACTGGCTTTCACCAGTGAAACAAAAATCAGTTTCAGTATCACCTCAAAATTACTCTCTTTGTGCAGTTGTTATATTTTTTAAACTCTTAATGTGCCTCTCTGTGTCCTTTAGATAACGTACAAAGGGAAGGAATCTATATTTGATGTTGGACTATTTTAGCATGGCCATGTCCTGAGAGAAAGCAAAGTAACTGGTAAAGCATCTCTAATTACTATTTAAAAATTACACTTTTTAAATTTTGTGTTGCACTGACAAGGGCATTATACTTACTGACATTATACTATGTACAGACAATACCTGAGATGGAGCTTAATGACAAAGAACAAAACAGGTAGCAAAACAGAACAAAAAGTATGGATATATTACAAATCTAACTCTTACTGAAGTGTTTGAAATGGCACAAGGCTGGAACTCTTCTGGTGCATTTAAAACCAAATTCCTTGAGAGCTTACAATCAAGTGAATTTGGTTGTTTTCTTTTCCAAATGGTTCTCGTATCTTAGAACAAATATAACAGTAACATATTCCAGTAACTACGATGCTTGGATCTGCTGCCAAGTTTCTTTCTGAATTAGTTCAGATCCAGAGCAAACTCTTTTTGGTGACTTCACTTTAAACGCAGAGATCCAAAACTACTGTTTGTCTAGTTGCATAAACAAGTACTAAGCCTTATAAAAACATGATGTGCATGCCAAGATGCTTAGAGGTTAGATAATATAGAAGTGTGAGGGTTTATTTGTCTAATTAAACTCCTTGGAGAAAGGAAGAGGGGGCATATGAATTACTATTTCATAGTAACCTTAGATGTGAAAGGCTGCTTCTAATATAAAGGTCTGGAATCTCAGAACAAATGGCCACCTGAAATTATTTCCAAGAACTACTTCTGGTTTTCTCTGTAACCCTGCCATGGGTTAAATGATGACTGCTCCTTTTCCAGCTTGTGTTTTCTCCTACTTAAAAAGCATGCTAAAAATCTGACCAAGATGTGATTCCAGGTGTATGTACACTACAAGACAATATGAAGTACTGGATTGAGACACTCATAAAACTAATTTTCTTGTGGAGTACGTACCCTACACTGATTACTTCTGAATAGAGTCCCCTATATCTTAGGTAAGAGACTGAAAGACAGAATGGAGTTTTACATAAGATACTTAAAATACACAGTTTATCTTCATCACTTTCCATGGATGTATCCAGGTATTATGTGGGAAAAAACTACCTGTTGCATTCTTCTTCTATTTATTTCAAGGTTTAGTCTCCCATCTGGTACTTGAAAACAAGGTTCAGCAGAGCTGCAGAAGAGCCTGTGACTTCCACATAAGATTTCTGTTTGATGTGCAATAAACTGCTCTTTTTCTGAGGAAAGGCCCTTTTCTACCATCACGGGATTTAACGGCATAGATGACACAGAAACTTTGATGAGAATCAGAATCTTCCTGGCAGGATCCACAGGTCTGGAGCTTAGGGATGCTCACTCAGTTTGAATCCAGAAATACATTTCCTATTTTGTGCATCAGCTGAAAGCCGTATGAAATTCTCAAGAGAGAACAAGTGCAACTACCAAATTATTTGATTATGATGCTGAAAGTCAAAACATATTTGAGGAATACATCTGCCTCTACTAAGCTTGCTAGCCTCACCACAACATGCAAGGCTTTAAGATAAAACAAGTCCCTTAGACTATAAAGCTCAACAAAGTGTCAAGCTTCAAAAGGAAAGATTACATTTCTCAGACCGGGTCAGTCATTCCAGCGACTTGTGGTGGCAAGCAGTATTCTGGAATGCCCTCCATTCCCTGTTAGTGATGTTACAACTTTCAATAACATTCTGGTGTCATGGATCTTCTCTGGAGTCTAGATGAAATTTAGAAAGTCAAAAGACTTCCTATGCAATGACAGGAAAACATCAAGCACAGTGATGTAGTTTCAAAAATGGAGTAATGTCATGCACAGAATAGTCTGTTAGCATTATGCAAAATAACAGACATATGTAAATAGCTTGCTTTGCACGAGTACATTTTTTAAAAAGAGAATAGACCCACTCCTACCTAGTATTTCAGACACTAAAAAAGTCCCAAAAATGGTAATGTCTTTTTCTCTGCTCCAATGAAGCTAGAGGATATAATGCTCATGATGTTCATAAGCTTCCTGAAACTTCACATTGCCTTGGTGGCATACCTCCATCTGGAAATACCAGCCATCAGTCTGTCAAAGTAGGTGGTGACAGACTGAAACACTTGCAGTATTTGCAGGCAGCTCCTGCTCAAGAGGGAAGTCTCGCTGCTGCTCAAACCCTGCCTTCCTTGCGTTGTCCCCTCTCTCTCTCGAACAGCTCTTTCCCAACAAGCCACAACTGCTCCCCACAGCCAGAGCTGCTGCCCTACAGACCAGGCATGGCCGCTGAACAAGCTCCCTGCCGCCGAGGGCAGATAGGCACCCCGGGCAGCGGCTGCTCTTTTGTAACAGCAAGCTGCGATCAACCCCGCCATACGGCACGATTTTGTCAAACCCCGACGTCTTCTGCTGTTCCCGAGACGCGGTGCGTCCGCGCCGCTGACGCTGGGAACGGCCTCTCTCCCCTCACGCGTGGCTTTTCTCTGATGACTGACCCGCAGCCGCCGTCTTCTAGAGACCTCAGCGGACCTTCCCCTCGCAGGCCCGCGGCCCCCGCAGCCTCCCCGCGCTGCCCCGGGAGGACGAGCACTGCGCAGCCCCCACGGCTGCAGGCGGCGGTGGGCCCGGCGTGCGCATCGCCCGGGCAACCGGGGGCGGGCCCGGCGGCGGCGGCGCGTGGGCGGTGGCGGCCGCGCTGACGTCCGGGGGAAGCTGAGCAATAACAGCAGCGACGCGGGCCCAGCTGCGCCTGCGCGGGCTGCGGGGCTGCTCTATTTATGTGGGGGGGCGCCAAGATGGCGGGGGCGGCGAGGAGAACGTAGGGGTAGCTCCGACCGGGCGGCGGAGCGGGGAGGCGGGAGAGGGAGGAGCCGGGGCCGGTGGGAGGGAGCGCGGAGAGCGGTGTCACCGAACGTGTGAGGCGGGGGCCGGCGGACGGCGGGCGCGGGGGGGGGGGACGGCGGAGGATGGCGGAGCCGCGCCGGGTGCCGTTCATTAGCCTGTCACCCGTGCGGCGCCGCGAGGGCGAGAGTCCGGCGTTGGAGCGAGAGCCGGCGGGCCGCGACCCGGAGCCACCTCCGGCGGGCCGTGAGGCGCCACCGCAGGAGCCGCCGCCGCACGAGCTTCCCAGCGACAGCGCTGCCCGCCCGGAGCCGCTCCGAGACCCCGGCCGGCCCGAGCAGCCGCCGCAGCGGGAGCCCCCCCGGCCCGAGCCGCCGCCGCTGCCGCCACCACCGCGCCAGAGCGGGCGGCAGGAGCCGCCGCCGCCGCGGGAGGCGCTCCCGCTCCGCCAGACGGTCCGCCTGGAGGTGGTGCTGAAGGACCCCACCGAGGAGGGCTGCGTGGAGTTCAGCTACCCGGAGCTGCTGCTGTGCGGGGACTCGCGGGTACGGGACCTCCCTTTCCCCTTTATCCCTCCCCTCCCGCCGGCACGGGCCTCCCCGCGCTTCCTCCTCCACCTCTCGGCTGCCGTTGGCCCCGGCCTTGCCGATAGTGTTATCGGTTGCCCCTTGCTGCTCGGGGGTGGTCCCGGTACGGCGGGAGGGGCGGCGTCCTGGAGGGAAGTCCGACAGCCTCGCCGTCGCTGCGGCCTCCTCCTGGTGCTGAGGCTGCGCCTGTGCCCGTGGGGGGAAGGGGAGCTTCCCACTTGTCCCTGAGCTGGCCAAGGGCTCCTGGCCTTTGCTGCCGGCTGAGGCGGATGGTCGCCACTGTCTCGTGTCCCGCTTACCCCGGCTCACCTCCCTGCCGCTCCCGTTCCCTGCCGGGAGAGGTGTTGCATCCTTCCTCCTTGGGAGCTCTTTACCGGCAGCTGGACGAAATTCTGACCACGCCGGTCTGTTTCCCGGGTTGTCCCTAGGTTGTGTGCAGGTAAATAAGACCCGGCTCTGCTGTAAGTCTCGAGAAGCAGAGAAGTGATCAGTAGCAGATTTGGAGAGGAGTTGTAATCTTGGAGGGGATAGGGATAAATGAGAGTTAATGTTGGACCGGTAACCACACCTGTAAGTGTTGAGAACTTGATTCAAGGAAAAACGACCAAATTGTTCTTCCCTTGCTTGTTCCTCCCAAACAAAAAGTACTACTTTGAACTACTTTGTTTTTTAAGCACAAAGCTCCTGCAGACAACTTTAGGAAACGAGCAGTATTAGCCAATCAGCAGTGCCCACTGTTCCAATTAGGAAGGAGAGACACATGTCCTTAAGCTGGTTGTACTTGAACTGTTCATTCTTAGTTGTGGATACCTAGTTGTTTTGATTTAAATAGTTTTTGCTTCTCTTTAATCCAGTACACAGTTTCAGAGAAACCTTGTTTCTTACTGGAAAAGGCAGAGGGCAAGTAAGTAACTACTACGAAGAAGATTCTGGTTGATCTGGTGATAAAAACAAGTATCAAATGCCAGTACTGAGACTGCCATAGGGTTTTTACATCCAGCACAGTCTTGAATATGGTTGAAACTTTTTTTATGAACCAAAGTGTTTCTAGGCAATGGCAGTGCTGTAACTATACTTAGCGGGCTGCTCACTTTTTCTGCTGTAGGAGGGATGTACACACTGGATTGTGTTCAAATGTGGAAGTCAGAAAAATCAGTGACTGATTTTAATTCCTCAGATCTTGTCATGCAAGTTAAAAGGTGCCTTCTGTTCATCCTGTCCTACAGCTGTTGTGGGCAAACAGTGCCAGTTATGACTCCTCAGAATTAGTGTAGCATAATCATGCTGCTCTCTGAAGTGCAATCTTTCTGAGCAGTTCTGTGAAGGTGAAAATTGTGTTAGAGTTTAGAAGTGGTTCAGTACTTGAAGGCTGACTTTTCCCTTTGGCAGTTCCCAGTTCCATAACTGCCTTTTATTCTGAAGGTTGCCAATATCTTAATCACATATTCAGGGTAAAAGGGCTCTTCCTGATGTAGTTCTGAAGCAAATACCATGTCTTCTGGAGGTGGGAGAGCATTGATTTAGGGTATTTTGGTATAACTGGGGTCAGGAGCTGCTTTTAAAGTAGAGACAGTGATAGTAATGCTTTATAAGAAACTTTGTATATTTTTCAGCTCCAAAGAGTCCAAATTAAAATGAATGGATCATAATGGCTCTTCTGTTACTGGTTTGTGGAACAGTCAGCTGATTTACTATGTAAAACAGTGTCATAAATTAGGATCTTTTAAAAGTGGTTCTGGACTTTTACTCATGTTTAAAACTGGATGTATACTTGGATTGTCAGTTTAATTTCTTGTTATATGGTAGAACCTGGGAAAGCTACTAGGGAAGCTAGCTATTAGGGAAGATTTAAAATCTTGGGATTTGCTTTTTCGAAGTAGGTAGTAACTAACTGGCAGTTATTGTTGTGGTTTTAAGTGGAGTTTTTGTTTTCAGAATTTGTTTTAGTAATGTTTCAACTTAAATTTAACAGTACAGATCCTTTATTTTTACTGTGCAAGTTTTTTGGATGGTGAAGGTTGATTTGGTTTTCTAGAAGATATTATTGACTCCTCCCTTAGAAGAAGTTGCTCAACTTTTTTATAACACTTGCCATTAAAATTTAACATTAAAAAATCAGGAGTTTGTTTTTTTGTCTTGTAGTATTCTTGGAACTGTAGCAACCAAGGAAAGCTCTCCAAAGGAAGGCAAGGACTGGTTCACAGGCATATCTTTAAATATGGCTTTAACAGGCCATGATAATAATAGGTGCATAATATTGAAATGATAAAGAATCCCAAAACTGATTTGGCAGTGCAACTTGTGTCTTTTTTTTAATTCCAAATTTACATTCCTATGCTGAATCAGAAGCTAGTGGAAATGTATATTTTAAAAACTTGTGCTTGTCCTTTTTTGCCTTCATAAAGAGAACATCCTTTGGTTGGGTTGTTTGTAGAGTTCATCTTTTGGCAGGAATTATGTAAAGTTTTGAATGTGAGTAATAAGTTCGTGTGGTTGAAGAGCTTATTTGCCTCTTAAATGCTGGCGGAAGTGAAAGTGTGCTCCCATTTCTTTTGGGGTAAGTGAGGCTTGGTGCATCAAACCCAAATTGAAGTGGATGAGCCAGAAGCTCAAGTTGTCTTTTGTCAAACAGGCTCTAAAGGTGCTGAAGTAGTAACGTCTTAGTTCAGGAGCCATCCATCCCTTAGAAACAGTCAAAACTAAAATTTGCTTGAATTTGAGTTTTCAGTAGTGCTTAACTAATCAAATTGATAGTCAGCTGCAGCTTTGGGTGTTTGGTGGAAAGAAGCAAGTTAACACTTAAGTACTAAGTTTTACTTGATCTTTAGGCTCAACCTTGTCTCCTTTCAGAGTTAGATAAAAGCCACATATGCCTAGCAGAAGATGAGGAATACCTTTTCCCAGTTAAAAGCAGAGAAAATGGTGTTTCATGAATTGAGCAGTTATTTTATATTTAATTTTTCCTGCAGGAAATAAGTAAGTGGCTTTAATTTATGTTTTAGGAATAACTATAGCCCCTATTAACTTTTTCTCTAAATACTTAGTCTGGAAAATGTATTATAATTATGTGGTGTTTGCAGTTTTGCTTAGTTTACCTTCCTCATTACATTGGTCTTGATGCTAATGAGCTGGTTTGGTCACCATTTGGTCAATATACTGGCTTCTCATACTATGGAGGAAGGATCTTGCTTTTCTGAACTTAGTTTTTTTTGTTCTTAATAAATCTTCATTTATTCATTGGTGAGTAGTCCATGTGCAGTAAAATTAGCTGCCATCCATAAAGTTCTGCAAAGTGGAATTCCACTGTATTTTAGCATCCTAGTACCTTCCCCACCTGGCAATTCCTGTATTTATGTGAGCTCTGGTTTGAAGGAGGGCAGCCCTGTTTTCCTGCCATCGCTTATTGAAAAAAAAACCAAAAACACTATGTATATCCTGTTCATTGACTTTGTCTCAGTGAAAATATCTTTTCTAAAAAACACCAAAAAAGTAAGGGACTACTCACTCCTTGTATGCATAGCTGGAATATTAAATCTCTTTTGTAGCTAACATAGTTATGATTACTGAAATTAACTCCTGCACTATAATTTTTTTTCTTTAGATAAAAGACATTAATTATGGTTATAATTTACTGAGATTTTTAGTCTTCTGGCTGCTTGCCTCCTGGTTAGCATACCACATACATCCTGTCTGTTCTATCTAGAAGGATCATAACACCTATTAGAGGAACCAGTGGAAACAGAGGTGAAAAGGAATTGTGGTTAGAGAGTTTTTTCTAACCTCAAATGGTCATAATTCTCTCTTATGCTTACACTTTTAGTTAATGTTGTAGTGGAATGCTTGGGAAAATACAAATCTGAGTATTTATCTTAATTCTTCTGGGTTTATCATCAGAAGAAAAGTAGGTGGATGATAATTCAATGATCAAAGTAATTTTTAGATATTAAATATGAATTCTAACTACTTAGTCATCAGAGTATTGTTTTTTGACATTTAATAGATTTTGAGATGCATTCTCTTTCTTATGGAATGAATGTGTAACTTTTGCATTTTTCAGAAGAAGTCAGTTCATTTAGAGGATCCATTTAATGACGAACAACGTGAGCGACATGAAGTAGAAATGCTTGCCAAGAAGTTTGAGGCAAAATACGTGAGTTACTGCACTTCATTAAAAAATACAAATATTTAATAGTGATAAGATACTGTTGGGATTTCTTTTGCTGAAAAAGGTTGCTAATGTAGCGTCAAATGACTTCTGTACATTTCAGTGATGACTGTCTCACTGTATTTCACTTAAGTAGCTTGAAGCTGCCACAAGCTTATCAGACAAGTCTGCTAAATAGATTTGTCTGTAGATGTTACAGCTTCTGAAGCTATTCTTGGGAAAGCTTCCTATATAAATACAACTTGGTAATAGATGCAGGTCAATATTCACTGATGAATCTTGATGAATTCCTGACTAGTTTGAAAGGTTTCCATAGGAAGTTATTTATTAAGTAGTAAATCATTACTCAATGAATGTCTTGTAGCTGCCAGCTGCCTGATGATACTCTACTGGCTCCTTAAAGTGTAGTGTGACTTGAATAACACTAGCTAGGAACATAAAGAGCCTTTCACTAGTAAATGAAGGTAGAAATCAGAAAATGTTGACGAAAACCACACCCAAACAGGTCTTTAAGAATTCATATGGGTAGGGTTGGGTGATTAAGTCTGAGCTGGCAATCAGAGCTCATCATCATGCTGAGGCATGTTGATATTCTGGATTACTAATAGAACACCTCAATAATAAAGAAGGGAAACAAGAGCAGTCATTTGTATCTTTTGCTATTAATATACATATTAAAATCTTTTTTGTATGACTTATTTGGGGTTTTTTTCTGGCAAAGGCAGATTTTTCTAAGTGCCCAGTCTATAAATTCTGTAGAAGTAATTACTGTTTCAAGGCATGTTAGCTGTGATACATAACAAAATCAACTCTTAAACTGAGAAGAATCATTCTCATTTTTTGGAGAGACTGAGAGAATCCAAGATGAATTGAGAAGGCTGTTCCAAAATGCTATTTGCTTTTAATTTGAATGATAAATAATTTTTGAATGTGAGAGAAAAATGTTTCAGTCATACTTTCCTAAAAAACTCATTTCCACTATTAAGGATTTTCTAATGTCTGAAAAAAGTTGCTTAACTACAGGAGATGAAAATCAATGTAAGTATGTAAAGCAATATATGTAGGAGGGAGTGGTAGTGGAAGCAGTCTAATTTTACATGTATGTTTATGCATCCATCAAAGCTGAACATGTACATTTATGGACAAAACATGTTAGTAGACTTAAGAAAGCCAGAGTTCAGTGTTCAGTAGTCACAGAAAGGGGCAAATAGATGCTTTTAACTATTAGAAAACAGTAGGTAATAAAAATTTGTGGTACACTTGCATCGTCATTACTACTTGCACTTCTAATTCCTCCCCTTTCATTCTCTGACTTGCCTTTTGTCCCTTCCAGCCCCATGAAAGGGAGTATCTTCTATCTGAAGAACTACTTACTAGCTTAGAGCCACTAAGCATTAAGGGTGGTGAGGGACTAAGATTCCTTGTGTTAGAAACTCCCTGTCCTTTCTCTTCCTGTATGAGAACCATCAGTCTCTACTTGCCATCCATGCTCAGAGGAATCGCATCTCTGAATGCTGACCCGGTACAATTGTTCATGTTCTGACAGCATTCAGCCATCTTCTGCCTCTTGCGGTGAGATATTCACTGCCTAGCTTCAATTGGAGCAGGGATCCCATGTAGCAGATAGCCACTCTCATCAAGTGAGTGACCAGGATACTGCAGGATACTCTTCTTAGCTGGAGTTACATTGTAACACACCTTAGCAGTGCTTTGCTGTGAATGTGATCAGTGGTTGTATCAGAAAAAAATAAAGGGGTTTTTTTCAGGTTTGCGGGAAGTACTATATCCTTCTTTAATTAAGTATGATTTATCTAAGATACCTGTTCAAAGTGGATTCAAACGTTGTTTTTAATCATAACGTGTGGCAGTACTTCTGGAAAATTTGATGCATGAAGAACAATCTGCCTTGAAGACTTTTTACTTCTTTTCAGACAAATTCCTGTACTCATAACCAAATCAGTACACCCTTTGATATATTTTGCAGATGCTAAGAGCCTGTGAAGAAGCGTACTTTTGTAAAACGCATAACGTACCATTTGTTTACTTGATTATTCAGAACTCTCCTGTATTTGCTGCACATACTAAACATCAGCATAAAAAAATCTGCTCTGAAGGATTCCATTTGTCATTTTGATTGCTATTATTCTCTAGATAAAATCAAACACTGTTGTGAACACGATACTGAATAGTGTACATATGTAAGAATTTTTCTTACATAAGAAATGAAGGTCCATCTAATGGATGGTACCATAGTCTCTGACACTAGTGGAATTTATACTTGAAAGTATAAATAGACTAAGTGTTCATTGATATTACTTCACTGTGCCTGTCTGGCAGTCTGTGTTGTCTTAATTTCTCTCAAACCCAAAGGTTACATGCTTAATCTTTTTATAGCTTTCTGCCAGAAATCTACCAGGTCATTACTGGATTTCTGTGTTCTACAGCACTGGAGTATCATGATGATTGTCATATAAAAACACAATGTGTTTAAGCCTGATGAATTAATGTAGTGCTCCATAGTTTCTGTACTGTAAGAAATAGAGAAATACACTTCCAGTTCTGCACATTGCATGTGATTTTGATGTTATCATCTAAATCCAGCCCTTGTGTTCCCCAGCTGTAGTGTCTTTAACATTGTTATTGCATGCAAGTGCTGTTTTTTACCTTTAAACATCCTTGTTGGCTTACTGTTCTCTTTTTTTGTTCTAATTTCTTATTTTAAATGTAAGTATATTAATGGTATGATGCCCTGATTTGTCAGTGTTATAACAACTTCTGGTTTTGTTCTCTGTTTTTTGGGGTTTTTTTAATAAGTCTCAACTCACATTTTTTTGACCATTCTTGATTAAGCAAATGTCTGAGCTGTGTGTAACAGCTCAAATGGTTCCTGAGCAGCATATAAATTTGGAGCATGGTGTATGTTTTTTTGCTTAGGTTGTACTCTGTGTGGTTTACCTTGCTTTATTGATGCTGAATTCAACTGCCGATTTATCATACTAAATTCAGAGCAACTGTAAGGTCTTTCAGTTATTCTTCAGTTGTTTTTTCTTTCAACTTGCCTCAGTAGATTGTCATCTTAGACCCCTGTCCTTCTCCAACTCTTGACCTGCTCTGTTGCTTCCAAAGGTGAATGAATGCATATTCCATAATAATTTTTCTGATCACTCTTTGCTAAAATGAGATACCTGTTCTTACCTTTTCTCTCCTAGCTGTAGATCAGGCATCATTTTAAGCAGACCTTCCTTATCTCATGACAGTTTCTTGCCTTTAAAGATGTTTACACCATTTTTAAAGCATTTGAAATATTTTATTCTACCAACATTTCTTCCTGCTCTGTATATTCTTGTTCTGTGTATTCTGGTTCTTTTGTTTATAGCTTTTATTAATTTATCCACCATAAAGACCATGTTTACTGGTTTATAGAGTCTGCTCTTCAAGCTTCTTCAGGTATTGGCATTGTATTTGCCACTGACCTTCTATTCCTGTTGGGCAAAGGTTGCTTAAATGTAAGATTACATGACAGTTAATATATTAAAGT